AACAATACGATAATAAAAATATAAGTAACAATCAAAATAAATATTGTATTTAAAGTAATAATACGATACAATACAATGGGTAACAACCATCCAAACAAGCTACTATTTAGATGGTTGTTACATATTGTATTGTGTCGTATTGTTACTTTAAATATAATATTTATTTTAATTGTTACTTCAATTTTATTGTATCGTATAGTTAAATTCATCTTTACATAACGATAAAAAGTGTCACTTCATGTAACGACGAATTTGGTATGGTCGCGTCATTACCTTGCTCTTTTCTCTCATCTTACCCTTCCTTATTATTAATTAATTATATTTTTATCCTTTACGCAACCTTTTTATACAATAATTCTACCTTATACCCTGCTTCTTTTTTTTATAATATTATAAATTTATTTTTCATATTACTGATGCATGACATCATAAAATGATGACAAATAATATAATCTATTCAAATATTATATTTATTATAATAATACAGTACAAATATAGTATAATATAATATGATACATTTACGAATGCACGTGGAACGATCATCCAAACAAACTAATGTATGCATTACTTTTTGTAATGCCTCTACTCTTATCTGTCACATGCTCACAGCAAACTTTTAAAAAGGTGGTTTAGCAGCTAGGTGAAAAGAATAAGAGAAAAAAGAATATTCTAAAAAAGGAAAAGAAAAAAAAAGATGAGAAGGCATCACCGGCGGCGATCATCGACGCCGTCAGTGGACTTCGGAGAAGACGAGGAAGACGACGAGGAAGAAGAAACATCATCGGAAGCACGAATGAAGTGCGTGTCATGTAAAGAAGATTACAGCTCACGTGACGCGGGCACGTGCAGGGAGTGTTACGAGGAAGCTAGCGAGACAGAGGAAGAGCTGAAGCGTGAGATCGAAGACCTTAAATCCAAAGTCAACTTCCTCCGTTTCTGGGCCCCACCTGACCCTCTCCACCACCTCCACCACCAACGGTCTTCTTCCACTAATACCGTACCCTTCTGCTCCGACGTCGTTTTGGTCGCTTCTCATGATGATGAAAATGGAAAGTCTACCCCTCACCCTGTTCCCGTTCCTGCAAATCGCGCTGTTCTGGTCAGTACCCATTTGATTATTCCATGTATTTTTAACGGTTTTGCATAACAAATTGTGTTATCAAGATTAATTCATTTCATACTTGATGTATTTCTAATGGGTGTGCGGTTGATTGAACCAAATGTGTTATCAATAAATAGATAGGATACCGGTAGATTGATGGTCAGTGCAAAAGTAGTCTAACTGTAGATATAGAGGACTGATATAGTCGACCCGAATTAATTTTGGGGTTGAGGTGGAGTTGATTGTTATATATTGGATATTAATGGATGAGGAATTGTAATACAAGTATCTCTTTCATTAGGAAATATCAGATGGAATCATAGAGGAGGGCTTGGTAGGCAGGGGCGGATGTAGCAGTGTTGTGAAGAGCGTGAAGCGAGGAAAAGCGACATGCCCCTTTTCGCTTAAAGCGAGAAGCGAGAAGCAAAGCGCTCGCTTTTTTGATATTTTAAAAAAAATATTAAAATAAGAAAGAACTACTGAAACGAAAAAATAAGAACAACTAAGAAGAAGGTCATTAAAAGAACAATTACATAACACATAAGAAAGGCAATAAGAACTAAGAATAAAGGATATGAAAATAAGAAGGGCAGTATAAGTATAACTGAAACGAAAAAATTGGGCAGCATTTCAAACGAAAAAACAGTGCAAGAAAATGAAGAAGAAGAGGAGGAGAAGAATGAGAAAGAAGAACTGAAGGGAAAAAAAAAATTCGCCAGCATTTCGCTGCTATTTGGACGCTGAAACAGTGAAAGAAAAAGAAAAAGAAGAAGAAGGAGGAGGAGGAAGAAGAAATCACATACCTGGACCAAACTTGATGATCTTGAAGTTGAAAAGTGTAGAAAACTTGAACCCTAGGTCGCTTCTTTCTTTCTCTGTTGCTGCTGGTCGATGATATTTTAAAAAAAGAACAGCTTTTTTAATTAAATAGGTTGGCAGCCCTGTAATACAGAGAAGCGCTCGCTTCTTACGCATCGCTTCGCACCTGCGCTTCTCGCTTTTTAATGGAAAGCGAGCGCTTTTTTAAACCTGCTACGCTTCAGCTAACAGAAGCGTTCGATGGCTCGCCTCGCTTCGCTTCTCGCTTTAAGCGAGTAAAGCGAGAAGCGCTCGCTTTTCACAACACTGGGATGTAGGGTTCAACTTATTCTCTAGATAAGTACAAATAATTGATCTCGAATCCAGTAAATCAAATAAGTTATGGTAAAATCTCGATCTCGAAGTGATAACTTCAGATCCTGGATCTGCCTCCGTTGGTAGGTTGATGACCAGTGCAAAAGTAGTCTAACTATGAACATGAGAAATGATTAGATGGAATCATCAGTTTCAAGCACTTTCTGAAGGAAAAAGGAAGTGTCCGAGCCACTACAGTGTATTTTACAACTGTTGCAACTAGAATAGCACTCTTATTGTATATCAAGTGCTTTTGAAAGAAAATAAATTGCTGGGAGTTTTAAGTTAGACCTTTTCGCTCTATTTATTGGAGTATGAATAGTGAGCTTGGTCGCCACTATTATGAGTGGATGGGAGGCAGAAGTTGTTTGGAGTTATTTTCTGTTAGGCATTTTTGTTTGAACATGCTCAAAATCTGCAACAACGCTAATGCATTGGCTGTATGAGTTGAGCGAGTAAGTCTGAAGAAATTGATATGATGACTTATTGTTTTATTGCTAAAAGGCCAGAACATTGGAAAAGCTGCAGTTGATGGACTAAGTTTATGTGCTCTCCTGCAGAGTTGTCAAAGGTGAAAGCATAGAAAAGCACCAAGAATTGCTGGGGTATTATGCGCAAACTAGAAATAGAAGCATGGGCTTTACCGAATGAAGGCACTAGTGCCATGAAAAATATCAAAAATTATTATTCATGATATTTTGTTAACAATTAATCTCACTTTGCAAGTATGCTGCTATCCTCTTAAGACATAGTATAACGAAGATGAGAAGCATGCCTTAGTGCCTTGGTATCTGCACTAAAAGCTACCTAAGCGAGGCAAAGCTTCCAACCTGAGCTTCACCTTTAAAGCTTAGGCACACTTCAAGAAAGCCTTCAACAACATGCTCTCCTGCTAGGCAGCCTAGAAATTTTCAAACTCACTCCATATTTGATATTCTTCCGGAAAATTTAATAGCTGATCTACAATGTAAGTCATGTCATACAGTGTCATCTAGAGTCCTGCTGGTAATTTTCTACTTTTTAATAATTGTTCTAGTAGCATACCAGCATCGATTCGCTGTAGCATATTGAAGAATGTAAAATTAAACTGATTCCTAAGAAAGAGGGAAAGTAAATGCTTGTTGCTTGAACTTGTATAAAAAGAAGAACACCTGATGTTTTACAGCATCTGGTGTAATTTTTTCCAGTCTATATCTTATACTCCCTCTGTTCCAATTTATGTGAACCTGTTCGACTGGGCACAAAGTTTAAGAAAAAATGAAGACTTTTTGAGTTTGTGGTCCTAAACAAGTCAAAAAGGGGTCCAGAGTATTTGTGTGGTTATAAAAGCTTCTCATTAAGGGTAGAGTTGGAAGTCTAAGCTAAATTGTTTCCAAATTCTTTTTGGAACGGACCAAAAAGGAAATAGGTTCACATAAATTGGAACGGAGGGAGTGCTTAATAGCTAAAACATATGCCACATTAGACAATTTGCAAATTGCCAAAAGCTTATTCACATGTTAGGGACTCATTTTGCCTGATCATGTTGCTACTCTTCCGCCCCTGGAGTCTTCATCTTCCGCTGAATCATCATGACAGAGCTCCTGAAAGTTTGTGAACAGTAGCATATCAAAGCTTACATTTATTAATCAGTATTTCATGATCATTTTGTTATGGTTCTCTCCAAGACACGAAAATTAAGTTTCCCCTATCGTTGTTTCTTTCATTCTTTTCCGCTTAGATATGCTCTGAGCATCTGAGAAACATACTGAATTTAGTGTCCTCTTTCTTTATATCTGTTTTATACGATTTCTTTACTGTTTTAATTGTTATTTTTCACTGAAGTGATTTGGTGCCAATCTATTCGAAATAGTTCTTTATAGTTTTTGCACCTAACCTTTTCAAAATTTTGATATTCCACGCAGGCCAGTCGTTCCCCAGTGTTCAGAGCTATGCTTGAAAATGAGATGGAAGAAAGCCTTAGCGGCACAATTAAAATTAGTGACGTGTCATATGATGCACTTCGTGCTTTTGTGACCTATTTATACACTGCCGACGCGTGCCTAGATGAGCTTATGGCTTGTGACCTTCTCGTTCTGGCAGAAAAATACCAAGTGAAGCATCTGAAGACGTATTGTGAGAAGTTTCTGATTTCCAAATTAAACTGGGAGAACTCACTTCCTAACTATGCCTTTGCTCACCAACACAATGCAAAGAACTTGCTTGATGCAGCCCTGTCATTGATCATGGAAAATATGGACAAGCTGAGCAAGCGAGAAGAATACAAAGAACTTGTGGAGAAAGATCCCAGGCTTGTTGTAGAAATCTATGAAGCTTACCTTTCCAAACAGGTGAACACTGCTGTGCATAAAGATCCAGTTGCTAAAGCATAGCATAGCCCATGTTCATATTAACTTCGGTACCACGAGGATTCTCTAATTTTAGTGGTTAAGATTATAGTCCCCTGAATGGTGAACGTAATTTGAATGTTCATTAATGCATGGATGTATTTTGTTACTGAAGAATTTGCCTTTTAACTTTTAGTTTCTGATGTTTATCTTTTAAGTTTCTAAGCTGATATTCTGTTGAACATTAAGTTTGATTAATGCTTAGTCATGTTAAGTAACATATATGACACAATGGCTAAAAAACTCGAAACAGGGCTACTGCACAGCTGAGAAAATTTATGTCTTTCATTTCATGAAGCTTTTGAAGTACAGAAACATAGTGAAATGTTTTCCTTCTCTTAATGACTTGGAAGTGGGATAGCAAACTCAAGGAATTCTTCATCACATTCAAGGGCAGACCTATGTTGAGCATCTAAAATTACTCGTGCCTCAACACCACCATTGATCTTGATCTTGTCACCAACTAAGAAGAATGAATTCTTTGATGGATCAGGTGCTGAACTCATCCTTATATGTCTTCCCAATCCAAACTCTGTGCTTGAAAGTGGAAAATTGATTAAATTGCTGCAGACATAAGTATCAAATTCCTCATTGGAAAATGGTGCTTCCCCTTTTTCAATACATTCAAGAATTGTCAGCACTAACTCATTTTGCCTAACGTGGTCTCTCTTGAACAGCAGTTCAACTTCATTTCTGAGTTCACATACTAATCTTGGTAATTGCATTTCTCCCTTATTACTTGCTGTTGTGAAAAATATAGAGATAATATTTCCAACGGAGTTACGTGGCAAGCGCGGGTTAAGGAAATAACGAAGATCCACAAATTGAACCAACTTACATGGCCTAAAGGAAGTACTAGTAGATTTTACCCTTGCAGCACACTTGAAAATAAGTGCACTCAAAAGCTCAGCACGAGTTGGATTCTGCACTCTTGATCCACCTTCAACTTAAGCTTTAAGTGCATGTATTTTGGAGTTTGGAAAGAAGAATTTTCTCAGCACACGTTCTTCTAGTTTTTATTCAATCAATGGTGCAACCAAAGGACTACCTTTCATTATTTTTGATGATGGGAAGATAGATTCTCCCATAAAACGTGGAGAAGGAACAAAACTTGGTTCACGAGTAGTTTTACCCCAATCACTTAAAAATTTCACCATTGAACTCTCATCAGTATTCACTAAGCTTGTGTGACAGGCATATACACCTTTAGCTATTCCCACCACAATCAAATTGGTTCAAGTGAACCACTAGTAAACTACCATTATAGGAATTTGCAAAAGGCAATCCTTTAGAGAAAACTGCCACTTCTGCAATCCTTTAGAGAAAAATTATTTTCTACTTTCTAACCAAACACTAGAAAATATTTTTAGGAAAAAATTTTCACCCACCAACCAAACAAGGGAAAATAAGTGATAAAACCACTCATTTTCCAGTAAAACATTTCCCTTCGTACCAAACACACCCTTAATCTTCAAGCAAATGGATAATATGAGGCTAGAGTTCTTGATAGAGAATTCTGTAGTGGATGAGCTATTTGATTAGGTTCAATGTCATTTGAAATTTCAGCATTAACCTCTTTATGCTTGGGATAGAAGAAGGACAAAGGCATGTACATGTGACCATAAGCTTGTTCAATAAAAGAGAGTTTGTGATGTCTAACAGCAGAAGGTGTTGGACAGATAGGCTTGATAGTAAACTTTTTAGTACCTAACGCAAGTGGCAGTGATGGTAAAGCCATGATGATTGAGAAACAGTACTACGTTTAGTTTATGCAAAACTCTTGCTTTTCAATTAGCCTTTCATCAAGTGTCACTTCTATATATAGTTGTATTGGGTAAAATATGTTACGATACGTGGCCGTCCGAGAAAGGGACACGTGGAATCCAAGACGAGGATGACTGATGACTGAAGACGGAAGACAACTGTTTCGTTTGTCACCAACAAGAATAATGCTCATAAAGATGTGATAAATGCTTTTTTCCCGGTAGCATTAAATAGGGAATATTCATGGCATTAAGAGCAGTTACCCGTTACAAGATATTTGAGATTTATGTTCACCGTTACATCTTCACCAATGCTCCTCATAATTGACATTAAAGAAGGGCACGACCCTAGGACCTTCTTCATAGGTATAAATAGTGAACTCAGGTGTCATTGTAAAGGGGACGACTATTCTAGCAAACATATACTATATTTTACATAAAACTCAATCCAATCTTAGATTCTGATTTCTCGATTCTTTTTATTTTTGTGCCTGAAAACCTTGTTCCCGGAATTGCTGCTTCTGCTGTTTCGTCCATATCTTAAGGCTAAGTGTTGCATAATTCTTCAATTATTTATTTATTTCAGGATCAAATTAATTCACTTATCTAAAAACCACGTATAAATTCAACTGTACCGTTTTACGGGTGAACAGTTTGGCGCCCACCGTGGGGCCTAGATAGTCGTATAATTAAATTGATCTTTGCCTTTTTTATTAACGTGTTTTGATCATTTTTATCTTAGGAAAAGTCATAAGAAATGGCAGATAACACTGTTAACGACATGCACAACCCCGAGATTCGAGGGGTTCAGCCTCATTTCGAGGACTCAATCAGCAACACCCATAATGAAGGGAATGACGCTACACCAGTGCATGACAGGCAGTACCCTCGACATGTTCGGGGGACCACTCTCGATGACGCTGATGAGGAGCATGTCGTCGACGCGGTAAGGGTCTTGCAAGAGCAATAAGCGATCATTCTAGGCCACCTCACGCGACAGGATAAAGTTATGACGGAGTTGAAGCAAGCGTTGTCGGGAGCTTCAAATAATGCATACAGACGAGATCTGATCCCTCACGGGATTCACACGGATCAAACAACAAGGAGGGTCGACAACAACACTCCTAGGGGTGAAATTGGCTCCGATGGGGCAGGAGGGAACGAGCCCGGCCTCAACAACGAGAATGATTCTTTCAAGAATGAACTTTTACGGTTCACGAGGGAAGTAAACTCCCGCATGGGCCAGATCCCGGGCGCGCCACCAGTGCTGAAAGGCCGGACTTGAAAAAGTATACTCAATTATCGTACAAGCCAAGTGCGGCACCACAGTTTTTCCCGACGTGGTTCAAAATGCCTGAAATTCCAAAGTATGACGGAACTTCAGACCCCCATGAGCATATTACCACCTACACAACAACGATAAAGGGAAATGATTTATCTCCTCACGAAATTGAATCTGTGCTGCTGATGAAATTTGGGGAAACCCTCACGATGGGGGCCTTGACGTAGTATTCGCTGTTACCCGAGCATTCCATAGATTCCTTTGAAATGCTTGCGGATTTTTTCATCAAGGCTCATGCTGGGGCAAGGAAAGTACACGCCCGAAAGGACGACATATTCAGGATAGCGCAAGGAGAGTCTGAGTTGCTACGAGAGTTCGTTACCTAATTACAGAAGGAGAGAGTGTTCCTCCCGACTGTCCCCGATGAATGGGCGGCTGAGGCGTTCACCAAAGGATTGAATCCAAGAAGTTCAGACACTTCCCGAAAATTGAAAGAGAGCCTACTCGAGTTTCAAGCAACGGCCTGGGCGGACGTCCACAACCGATACGAATAAAAAATAAGGACCGAAGATGATCAGGTTGGTTTTCCATCGTCGACAAAAGGACGAGAAAAGAATAAGGAAAAATCAAATGATGATTATGACGCGGACAGTTAGACTTCTAGGGGCCGGTTTTTGCCTTACGAACGAACCGAAGGCCACAATAGAGGTTTTCGGACAGCGGATAGGTTCGTGATTGACAGGAGGACTGATCGCGATCAGAATAATCGATCACTGCAAGATAAAGAAGTGATAGGGTCACGGGATCCTTATTACCCCAAATTATTAGAATACAACTTTAATGTTAGTATAGTAGAATTAGTATTTGCCATGAGAAACATCAAAGAAGCGCAGTTCCCGAGACCGATGAGATCTGATTCTAACCAGAGGGATCTTAATTTATGGTGTGAATACCACGGTACGAATGGCCACCGAACAGGGGACTATCGACATCTCCGGGAAGAAGTGGCAACGTTACTAAAGAATGGTCACCTCAAAGAATTCTTGAGTTACCTAGCTAAGAACAACTATGGGCGTAATCGAGACAACGCGGAACCCTTGAAAGAAGGAGAAGATTCTCCGCGTCAAACAATCAACATGATCTTCGGAGGGAACGAGATTAACGGGATCACCTTTTCAGTAACAAAGAAGACGAAAGTATCAATAATGCATAGAAAAAGGCTCCAATCACTTTTACAGAGGAGGACGCAGACAAATTGCTACTATCACACAACAACGCACTGGTAATTTCTTTAAATGTGCTAGATTTTAAGATTAAACGTGCTCTAGTGGATCCAGGGAGTTCAGCTAATATCATACAATGGAGAGTGTTGGAGCAAGCTAAACTCACCGGAAGCATTATTTCGGCCACAAAGCTCCTCGCCGGATTCAACTTTGCAAGTGTGACAACTCGGGGAGAAATTTTATTACTCATAAACGCTGAAGGAGTAATGAAAACAACTCTTTACGAAGTGGTAGATGGTAATATGGGATACAATATCATTCTGGGAAGGCCATGGTTGCACAAGATGAAAGCTGTACCATCAACATACCATCAATTGCTGAAGTTTCCAACACCCTAGGGAATTAAGCAGATAAGGGGTGACCAACCGGCGACAAGGAAGATGAATGCAATTTCGGTCTCCAGTAGCAAAGGAAAAAAACACGTGGCATAGCAATTACAGGGCCCGACACCTACTCCTGAACTAGATGAAGTTAGCAGGCGAAGGTAATCAGGTGCCGAGATATTTCAAAGTTCCAGAAGAGATCGATGCTATGAAGTCCACAGCGGAAGAGCTGGAGCAAGTGGCATTTTTCGTGGAATTCTTAAAAAGGAAATTCCACCTGGGTACAGGACTGCACCCGGAACTCAGGTCCGACTTCATTAAATTCCTTAAATCTAACGCCGATTGTTTTGCATGGTCGCATGAGGACATGACAGGTATCCCGATGGAGGTAGTCGTACACAAGTTAAGCTTGGCTAGCTAATGTAGAGGTAACCCCCTTACTTAATATCGGTTCAATCCAAGAGGTAAGATATCCAGACTGGCTAGCTAATGTAGTAGTAGTTCCTAAAAATAAAAATAAGTTTCGCATGTGCGTAGATTATAAAGATCTTAATAAGGAGTGCCCGAAAGACATGTTCCCACTGCCAAACATCGATCAAATGATTGATGCCACGACCGGGCACGAGTTAATGAGTTTCCTCGATGCTTATTCCGGGTACAACCAAATTAAGATGAATTCGAAAGATCAGGAGAAAACTTCGTTTATAACAAATTTCGGTATATATTGTTACAATATGATGTCATTCGGGTTAAAAAACGCTGAAGCCACTTATCAACGGCTAGTGAACAAGATGTTTAAAAATCAAATAGGAAAAACTATGGAAGTTTATATAGATGATATGCTCGTTAAGTCTTCAAATGCAGGTGATCATCTTAAACATCTGCAAGAGACTTTCGACATCCTAAGAAAGCATAATACGAAGCTTAATCCCGAGAAATGCGCGTTCAGGGTCAGCTCAGGTAAGGTTTTTGAATTTCTGGTATCACAAAGGGGGATCAAAGTAAACCCCGATAAGATAAAGGCCATAGAGGATATCCCGGACCAATTGACAAGCATGAAAGAAGTCCAAAGGC